GCTTTGTTGGGCTAATTGTACTTGTGCTAATGATGGCACTGCTCCAAAGTGTATAACCCTGACCACGCGGTTAATGCTATCACGATGTTCTTACAAAATAATCCGCAGACTACCTGCTGCATCTCCTCTCTGTTTCAAAGAACAAATTTGACCTGAGGTCTTCACTCATTTACCAGCTTCACATTCCCTATTGCCGTACAAAAACTGGAGGAAGGGCCTTTGCTGTTGATGCCCCCAGGGTCTGGAATGCTATTGCCAATAAACTGCAACTTGAATCGCTACCAATGAGATCTTCTCCCAAAACTGCTCTAGAGGAGTTGTACACCCCTAGCTACCACTGCTATTCATTGGCGTAAAATAAAATAAAATGTTTTGCTGCGGATGACGCTGCAAAGTATTATCTGTATTTTGATTTAGCGTGCTGATCTTAAAGGTGCATTGAAAATTTTGATACTCCGACTGATGCTTCTGTTGTTGTGGAGTAACTCATGCAGCCAGCTATGGCTCTAGGATTTTGGTGTTACATGTTATTTATGTAGTTTATTGTAAAAATTCGGTCACAGCCCCTATGATCACTGTTACGTTGCAATCATGGCTTTATTTTTTGGTGATTTCGAAAAGTTTGTTGGTTTGGACATGTTTGTTTTGTTGTAGTACGGAGTTAGACTGATGGCCTTAATCTAAGTTTTCTTGTGGTTGTTGTTGTTGTTTGACTTGCATCCCACTGGGATTTTTTGCACATAGCGTTGGTGTACGGTGCTGTTTTCAGGAATATTTTGCTGTTTTTTCATGGATTTTCTGTTTGCACAGTCACACAAAGTCACTTTAAGATGTTTTCTTGTTTGTGTTTTTTTGTTTTTTTTGTTTGTTGTGGTTTCACCCGATTCAAGAGCCGAATGGCTCACAGAGCTATACCAAAATAAATAAAAATAAACTAAAGTTTCCATTTAAAGCTTTCGTGACTGCAATGATTCATCTTCTTTGGTTCTTTCGGTAAAGTCACGTAGAATGATAATAAAATAATAAATTGATAAAATACAATAACAATAATATTCTCACGACGTTTCGGCCACAACACAAGCGGCCTTCATCAGGTGAAGGGGCGAGACTGTCTGGTAGGACAGCGCTGGAGTGTCCTACCAGACAGTCTCGCCCCTTCACCTGATGAAGGCCGCTTGTGTTGTGGCCGAAACGTCGTGAGAATATTATTGTGTTATTTTATTTTATCAATTTATTATTTTATTATCATTCTACGTGACTTTACCGAAAGAACCAAAGAAGAAAATAAACTAAAGCTAAGCCTACACTAATTTTAATATGGAAGGATCATGTCAAATACTCCTTCCTGTTGGATCAACATAAGTCATTCACAAGCATGCACAACAATTGCAATAATTTTTGGTGATACCAGCATTTGAAGTTGCTTCCCTTTGCCAGCTTAATGCATTTAATAAATAATCGTATTTATCCTAACTCTCATGCTTGTAAACATCCGTTTGAATACAATTAATTTTGTCTGGTTTTGCATTGAACTTAAAAGGTGCTTTTGCAGAACTTATCGAACGACTGTGTTGGGTTTGATTCGGTTTACAGGCATTGCCTTTGTTCAGACCTTAACTTTCACATCACAGTGTGTAACCTAAGTTATACTGTTCAATGCCAGCACAAGAGGGTCAGCCAAGCATATTTAGAATAGGACACTTCATTATAAAAACTGTACAGCAGAATGTTTTTCAAATTGATAATAAGTTCAAAGTCTCTCATATAATATGATGTCGCTCTGGGCTTCATATCAGCCTGAGCTGTCCAGAGCTGAGCTATAACAAAAATGTTTCCCATATACTGTATGGTATTAGTCATTCTCACACAACATTTTTGGGGAACATGTGTTTTCTTTTATGATTGGTGACTATTCATTGAAGTTGTTTTTCTATCGAAGTCGTGATTGTATATTTTATTTTTGTCTCCACCTTGGAAGCTGCCAGGGTCGAAATGGTGAGTACTGTAGACTGATCTTGCAATTCAGAGGTCGTGGGTTCAGTCTCTTGGCATGGCAGTCAGTTGCATTAGTGGGGCAGGTTTATTGAATTACTCTTCCCCTGTCCACCCAGCAGTATAAATAGTATACTACAGTTAATCGATTGGGAGATCGGTGGTGGGATAAAATGTGGGTGTTTCGTGATTTTTGTTATTTTATTTTTTTACCTACGTGACTTTACCCAATAGAACCAAAGAGTATAAAATGTGGGTAACCAAACCTCTTCCAAAATAAAACAAAATACCCCCAGAGGGGCGTTAGAACTCACTCAAGTGGCATGAGTGAGCAATTGCAGGGCTGCCCTTTACCTCTTACATCATATCCAGTTGTATGTATATGACCAAAAATCTCAGCATACATACTCAGAAGTACCCAGATTTAAAACTAATTTCTTTCAAACCGGTTTTCGTGTTTAGATTGTTGTTCTTCCCGCGCACCTCTGATTAACGCAGTTAGCTACGTACGGTGCAAAAGAAGGTCAACGTACGGTACATTTGTAGTGTCGTCTGTGTGCGTGGGTGCCGTGCGTCGCACACATGCTCAGTCAGAGACGAGGTGGTCGCAGGAGGCACCGTCCTCCCTTTTTATTGTTGTTGAGTTCACGCCACCACTCGGGCCCCCTCTCTCTCATGACCATGCTGCCGCACGACCCATCCCAGACACGACCCTGTCCGCGTTGCACCGAGGGCGTCGACCGGGACAGCCGACTAATGTCCGGCCGCGCAATGATTGGGCGAAGGCGGTAGCGTCGACGAGACGAGTCCAATCCCAGAACCGGCAGCCCAGAGCTCTCGCTCTCCGCTGCTTAGAGTCCCCTCAGCGCGGCTTGGCTCCGCCCTAGCCGCGCCTCCCTTCTCGAACCCTCCAGAGGGTTCCAGGGGTTTCCCCAAGAGGTCTACCGTGACCCTTGCCTCAGTTCCTCCGCCCTACCGGCACACCCGCGTATATGCTCAGTGGCGTGTGCGCTAAGTGCCCACCCGCAGTTACAGCTGCTGTACAACAGTCATCGCTATGTCACTACACATTTTAAAAAAGGAATGTGGTTGCAAAAATATCCCACACGTCATATATAAGGACTGCACATGCCATTTGTCAATTTTTACCCCTATGTACTTAAAACTTGATACAGCAAAATTTGCTCTCCAACACACCACTTCACTTGATGCAGCAATTTTGCTGTGACGGTTTCCACCTGAAGACGGAAGCTTGTGTTGCCTCCGAAACGTCGTGATTTAATTTAGTTGTTTTCATTTATTTTATAGATTTTTTATCCTATGTGACTTTACCGGAAAAAAACAAAGAGTATGAATCATTGCAGTCACGAAAGCTTCAAATCTAGAATTAATACCTCCTGTTTTATTGCAAAGAAAGGGTAAAACCTCTTCTTATTTTTCATGAACAGCATAGCTTCTAGAAAGGGCCGTATCCATCTTCCCTTGTGCCTGATTATCTAGCAATCGAATATATATTCGAACAAATATAAGCCGAACCCCCATTCTCTGTCTCCAGACGTTAACACATATTTAGTCCATAAGCTTATTTGCTTTCCATTATCAATACAGTAATAGCAAGCAATATTTGTTTAATAATTGTCTCAGCAGGCTCAGGATGCTTTGTCGACGAATTGAAGCAAATATAAGCAAACGCTGTTCTGTTTCCACATATCAATACTGGGCTGTATAATGTAATTATATTTCTTTAAGTTTACTTATTTATCCAGGAATAGGCATAATTTATGCATGCCTCTTATTTTAGGAGGACCCTGCACTGTTTATTATTTCTAGATGTTTTCAGCTATTGACCGTGGACAGTATTTATACAAGTGGGAGGGAAACCGGAGCACGCCGGATACAACCCGCGAGAGTGAGGGGGCAACATTCGATCCCCGATAGAAACGGATGGCGATAAGCTCACTTGCTGTGAGTGAGGGGGCAACATTCGATCCCCGATAGAAACGGATGGCGATAAGCTCACTTGCTGTACTGCTTCCTCTTGGCGAGCCAAGCAAGTTCTGTTACCGTGTCGACCACGGGAACTGATTTTCACAACATGTGCCCGGTGACCCACCAACCCTCGCCTCCACTGCCGGATCACAGACAGAGAGACACGCGCGGAGCCACCACTGCCCGGTATAAGCCCATAATCATATTTATTTCCACTGGAGGAATCCGATGAGCTATAAAACTCTTTTTCACAGATGTCCAGTGAACGGTATGTCCATCAGCCTATTGGATTTCCAGACCGGCGTTATGGAAGATGTAACAATGCTCCCTCTATTGTGGCAACGTGAATGTTAACCTGTTTTGACGACGGTGGACTCGACATTATTATTATTAAAATAGCTGCCACAAGCCACGGTAACACGCGGATCACAGAGCGGTGACGTAATGCGCAGTGACGTCATGGAGGAACACGGCGTGGGGGAGGGGCGGGGTGCAATGCCGAGGGGCGGTGCGGGGAGCGGTCCGGTTGAGGGGCGGGGCGCGGTGGAGGGGCGGGGATCGGGTGTGGGTGGGGGAGACGTCAGCGAGCGAGACCCGGCGCGCTCGCGGGAGAGGGGCGGGGCTAGGGAGGGGGGGAAACAAAAGTCGCGCGAGATGTGGGCGCGCGCGCGCGTACGCCAGGGAAGAGGGGCGGGGTTTTTTTTTTTGGGGGGGGGGTTTAGGGGCGGGGTTTTAGGGGGGTTGAGGGGCAGGGCTTGGGGGGGACAACAGCGCGAGAGTCCCGGTGCGCTCGCTGGGGGGAAAGGGAGGGGGGGAACAGAGAGGTCGCGCGAGACTTGGGCGCACGCGCGGGAACGCAGGGGGAAGAAGGGCGGGGCTTAGTGGTTGTGGGGGCTCGAGGGGCGTGGCTTGGAGGGGGGGGTGGGAGCAGCGTGGTGGAGGCGGTGGGGGGTGCGGAAGAGGGAAAAAAATGGGCGCGAGCGTGTCCGGGCGATGCGGCGTATGATTGGCCGCGGAGGCGTCACGTGGGCAGAGAATGTTCTGGAAAGTGGCCGGATATAAAAGGGGCGCGCAGTGCGGCGTGCGGCCTCACACTCGCGTCCGCCATCAACCGACAGGCCGCGCCGCCCTCTGCCTGCCCCGAAGAACCCTCGACTAAAAGAAAGGAAAAAAATAAGTACGTGTAACCTTTTATTTGGGAGGGTTGGGGGGAAAAAAACTGTTTACTTCGCGATAATGTTTTAAATTAGTGGTGTTTCGTCGATTTTTGTCTTGTTTTTTTTTATTTCTCGTTTTCCTGTGCCGGCCCCGCGCGGTTCGCCGGTGTTTTCCCGGCTGTGGCTAATGGCGGCCAGCGAAAGCGCGGTACAGTGTTAGCGCGACTCCGGGTGGTTATTGTTTTTGTTAACTTTAGTTATGAGGCGATGTAAGATAATTTCAGTGTTGTTTTTTTAAGGTAAATGGATGTTTGCGTTACAAAATGGTGTGTGTTTAGTCGACCCCCTGCTTTATTTTTAAAAATATATATAGCGTTGGTAACCGCGGCTTGGTTTAATAGCATAGAGTAAGCCAGGTCTGCTTTTAAAGCAAACGCTGAGTGTTGTGTATTCACGACGTTGTCTTCACCGCGTGGAAGGAACTCGAACTTAATCCTTGTAGGGAGGGGCGGCTTGCGCTTCTGCTTAATGGACTCTTGCGGTCCAGAGGTCGCCAGCTCGATTTTGCGCCACGGTCAATGCATCGTCGTGTTTAATATTTTTAAGCTATTTAAGTGCAACACGGCGCTTTTGTGTGGGCGTGTCGGGTCGTTTCGCACCACGTGTAGGAGGGAGCTTCTTTACAGAAGCGGCCGCCGCAATGGGTCTCGATGTCTTAATACAAACCGGCCAATCTAAAACAACGGAATGCTTATACAGCATGTATCGCTACAGAAAAAGCGGCGAATAACGCAACCGATGGGCGGTGGTAGCTTGGAGGAGCAGATTGCGCCCTTGCACAATCTGGTTCCTCCGCAGCCATTTCCACGATTTGTCCGATGTGCCCTCGCGCGTTGGCTAATGCACGTGGCGTCGACCAGCTCTAGACTGTCGAAGAGCTCTCGTGTAACGAGACGTGTTCGCGTATTGTTACGTGATTATTTTTTTCCTTTTAAACAAACCCCGTCCGCATGCGCCTATTGGATAATTGTAGAGTGGGGAAATAGCGTAATGGCTCGTGGAGGTAATCTCCAGGATTTTAAAGGTTTTGTTTGTAATTGTGTGGCGATGATGGTTGACCACGGTGGTGGTGGTTTGGGAGAGACCGGCTTGAGATTCCGCCAGCGAACAAAGACGGGGGGGAGGGGCGGGTCACGTGGGAGGGGGCATCGTGAGCCCCGCCCCCTGCCTACTTCGCAGACCGGCATCCGGTCACGTGGGCACGAGCACATCGTGCTCGTCCCGGTTCCGCTTTTTTTGTGGGCGGGGCTGTTACGTGAACGTGGTTGTAGGGGCGTGGTTATTGAGGGGGGGGGAGGGGTTTTCGGGAGGGGGCGTTGCTGATGCGGGGGGGGGGCTTTTGGGTGGCAAATGCGCGGTGGGGGGGTGTTTGGTGCGATAATGGAGCGGCTTCGAATAAAAACTTAATAATAATTGGGAGGAATCGCGTGAGCTTATAGAAGCTCTTGTTCTCGCAAATGTCCAGACAGATCGACTCTTGCGAGTGTGGAGGCGGTTCGATTAAAGTAAACTGCGATTTAATATTTAAGTGGACGCTGAGACTTCTTGAATCGAGTGGGGGAAGTGTGGTGGTGAAGGTTTCGGTTTTAATGGTAAATGCAAGGCTCTTCCGCGCTGAGCCCGGGTTGCTGTTACGGATTTCGCTTGCGTGCCAAAGGGCTGAGCTTTTTTGGGAGAGGGGGGGGGTGTTGCGTAACTCGTTGCTGCAACTGCTGGCTTGTAAACCTCGCGAGGCATTAGGAGGCGTAACTGATATGTACCTACATTTTGTGGTTGGCTTGGCATGACGAGCATGACGTGTTGGCCCGCAGCCACAAATGCAGCCGAGTACGCGGTGTACTCGCCAAGCGGAAACAAGACCTCAACATGTTGATTCTCGGATAGACCTTTTAAACTATTCATTTTTAAACATTCTAAAGATAGACGTATTTCAATGGGTGCAACGTTTAACGCTTAAAATTTACATCTCGAGATTTTCATTATGGTTTTCGAGACCTTTTTGTTTCAAAATATGCATGTGTACATGGCAATTCTGACTGAATTCCCGCCCCCCCCCCCCCCCTCTTTGGTGCAGACATAAAAATAAAGCAAACATGTCGAAGGGACCGGCAGTAGGGATCGACCTTGGCACCACCTACTCGTGCGTGGGAGTGTTCCAGCATGGGAAGGTGGAGATCATCGCCAATGACCAGGGGAACCGCACCACGCCCTCCTACGTGGCCTTCAATGACTCGGAGCGCCTCATCGGTGATGCAGCCAAGAACCAGGTTGCCATGAACCCCACCAACACCGTCTTCGGTACGTGTTAATATATTTTCGCCAAAGACCTGAATTGCCGGTTTTTGTGAGTGCAAGGGAGGGGGGGTTATCTTTATATTCACTACGGTGGATTTAATGTATGGTTGTGTGCACATGTTGGCTTGGAGGCATTTAAGTCGACAAACCATGCATTTTTTTTTTCATTTGAGCTACCCCCTGGGTTTTTACGAATATGCCCTGAATTCCGCTGGTGAAATAATTGCTAGTAACAAGGATGTTCCCCAGTCGCATTTTCTGCAGAAATATCTAAAATTAATGATGCACCACTTGATAAAAAAAAACCCAGATTGCATTACTGACATTCCCGCATGTCTTGTTAATGGCCATAGTGGCCACGACTGTTGCTGACCTCAAGCTAGCTTAACCTTGAGACGGGCGCTGCTCTTAAGTGATGGTCACTTTATTTAATTGCAGATGCCAAGCGCCTGATTGGGCGCCGCTTTGACGACCCTGTGGTGCACGCCGACATGAAGCACTGGCCATTCACGGTGGTGAGCGACGGTGGGCGACCCAAGGTGCAGGTCGAGTACAAGGGCGAAAACAAGACCTTCTACCCAGAGGAAGTCTCCTCCATGGTGCTCACCAAGATGAAGGAGATTGCAGAGGCCTACCTGGGAAAGGTAATGTCCTGGCATTTAATGGATAATCTCTCTATAAATAATTGGTGGGCGGGGTTATGCGTGTTTGAAGAGATTCTCACGTGCTCGTCAGTTTACAATCGTTGCTTGTAAGTGAGCCATGTATAGTGTAGTACTTGGAAGTCGTAAGGACATGTGAAAGAAAACTGCACCTTCAAAGACGAGTGGTGTTATCTCATTTATTTTCATTATAATGTTACTTAAAAGCATACCAATAATTTTGTGCTGATTTTGTGAATACGTGAATGCTTTAAATAGTTTTGGTTTTTCCGCGGCTGACATGCACCTGTGCTTTGCCTCATTTCCAGACTGTAACAAATGCTGTGGTGACTGTACCGGCCTATTTCAACGACTCACAGCGGCAAGCCACCAAAGATGCCGGCACCATTGCAGGGCTGAATGTGCTGCGTATTATTAATGAGCCAACAGCAGCAGCCATTGCCTATGGCCTTGACAAGAAGGTAATTATGCACACCTGGGCACAAGTGCTGATGTTGTAGTCTGTTCCATTTTTGAATGTGTAAATGGTTGTATATTGTTGCATGGTTTTAATTTCTGCTTTTTTTTTGTTGCCGGTTTACTTTCGCTCTGGACATGAGGTACAAAAGGTGATATATGACGGGCACACTTGAATCCACCCTTATTTCGCAGACATTCTCATGCAATGCATTTATGGAAAGGTGTAGAGACATAATTTTACCCATTATTTGAATTGAAATGACCCTTACAACTTTTAAAGGGGATTAAATTTGTTAAATTGCAACATTGGCTCAACCTTTATTTGAGGTTAATTTGGATTGTGAGCATCACTAAGCTGGTGTCACCAATATTTTGGATGGAAATGCATTGATTGAGGCTTTCAGTAAAGTGTTTTTATTCGGGGTGAATCCAAGTAATATTGCACAACATTTTAAATTGCAATTGTTCTTTTGTAAATACGCCGGTTCGCAGTCGTACGGCTATTAAAAGAGGTAAACAATTACGTTTCAGGTTGGCGGCGAGCGAAATGTCCTCATTTTCGACCTGGGCGGCGGCACATTCGACGTGTCCATCCTGACCATCGAGGACGGCATTTTTGAGGTGAAGTCAACGGCGGGCGACACTCATCTGGGTGGCGAGGACTTTGACAACCGCATGGTGAACCACTTCATCCAGGAGTTCAAGCGCAAGCACAAGAAGGACATCAGCGACAACAAGCGCGCCGTGCGTCGCCTGCGCACTGCCTGTGAGAGGGCAAAGCGCACCCTCTCCTCGTCCACTCAGGTATGGTCGATGGACCGCTCGGCACGTGTCTGAGCCTCTAAACCGTTTTAGGTAATACGTTGAGGATGTACTATTGATTTTTTTCTGGGAACGTTTCTTTAAATTTTTACAATTGCACAGTTGTGATGTGAACTTCTGTGGAGGTGTAGGTGGGGTTGGCAATTTGCACATCCAACTGGAGTTTACATGTTTTTTTTCCCCAGGAAAATCTTGACTGTGCAATGCTTTATATTTATTTGTCCTTAAGAAACGTAATAGGAGATACGTTGTTAATTAAAGTTTGCCTCGTCGAGTGGCTTTACGTGAGAGAAACTGATCATCTGACTGTCCTTACAGGCGAGCATTGAGATCGACTCCCTGTACGAGGGCATCGACTTCTACACGTCCATCACGCGTGCTCGCTTTGAGGAGCTGAACGCCGACCTGTTCCGTGGCACCCTCGAACCCGTGGAGAAGTCTCTGCGTGACGCCAAGCTCGACAAGGCCCAGATCCATGACATCGTCCTGGTCGGTGGCTCCACGCGTATCCCCAAGATCCAGAAGCTGCTGCAAGACTTCTTCAACGGCAAAGAGCTGAACAAGAGCATTAACCCTGACGAGGCTGTTGCCTATGGAGCTGGTAAGCCTTTGCAGCTGAGAAAAAAACACATTGCTTTAAAATTGCAAATTAAATCGCTGTGATGATGGATTCCATACCATTCGTAGTTTCCACCAGAGACCGTCACAGGTCAATGATGGCCTAACCTTCCTTGGATGTCTGAGCGATTTTAAAATTGTATATATTTTTTATTTTATTACCAGTAAACGTGCAATGAACAGGAGCTAATGCGCGTTGTTTTACAATTCAGCTGTGCAGGCTGCCATCCTCTGCGGAGACAAGTCTGAGAACGTCCAGGACCTGCTGCTGCTTGACGTCACCCCGCTGTCCCTGGGCATTGAGACTGCTGGTGGAGTGATGACTGCTCTCATCAAGCGCAACACCACCATCCCCACCAAGCAGACGCAGACGTTCACCACCTACTCTGACAACCAGCCCGGTGTGCTCATTCAGGTATGGTACCACGCCAACTGTGCTTGCAAAAAGACCTTGTGCCTTGGAGCATAATGATTAGCTTTTTGGGAGCGTAGATAATTTTTTTTCTGGTTTACATATATACCCAAGTGGATTCTTCCATATTTATGTTTAGGTGTGCTCGATGGTACTGATTGCTGTGATGATGGATTCCATACCATTCGTAGTTTCCACCAGAGACCTACACAGGTCAATGTTGGCCTAACCTTCCTTGGATGTCTGAGCAATCAAACACCATTTTAATATACTTGCAGTATTGCTTCTTAGATTTGGCAATCAAACTCCACCTGTCTGCGATTTACAGGTGTATGAGGGTGAGCGTGCCATGACCAAGGATAACAACTTGCTGGGCAAGTTCGAGCTGACGGGCATCCCTCCTGCACCCCGTGGAGTCCCTCAGATTGAAGTAACCTTTGACATCGATGCCAATGGCATCCTCAATGTGTCTGCTGTGGACAAGAGCACTGGCAAGGAGAACAAGATCACCATCACCAATGACAAGGGTATGTGGAACGTCTCTAAATCTCGGGTATATGTAATGTATTTTACATAACACCAGTGGCTTTGGATTTCACTGCGCAAAGCTAAGCGGTATGAATTTTGACTTAACTTTCGTGACTGCAGGAATTCATTCTTTGGTTCTTTCGGTCAAGTCACGTTGATGGAAAAAATAATAAGTTGTACGATTCTTGTTTTGTCACAGGTCGTCTGAGCAAGGAGGACATCGAGCGCATGGTCCAGGAGGCCGAGCGCTACAAACAGGAGGATGAGAGCCAGCGCGACAAGATCTCTGTGAAGAACGGCCTCGAGTCCTACGCCTTCAACCTCAAATCCACCGTTGAGGACGAGAAGCTGCAGGGCAAAATCAGCGACGAAGACAAGAAGAAGATCCAGGACAAGTGCAAAGACGTGCTGGACTGGCTGGACAAGAACCAGGTGAAGTGACGCACCTGGCAGACGCTATGGCATAACCTGGATATATCTATCGCCTTTTATTCACAACTAGTTTTTTTTTAAATAGACTACTTTGAATCCCGTTTTTGCATGAACAGATTAATTTGTAATTTACAATGGGCCAAGTCGGCAGTAATGTGCTTCCTGGCCTCTTGATCAAAGTTGTGCATTTACAAAGCAGTTTTCTGGCCTCTTAAGGGCTGGTGCATACAAAGGATGCTTGGAATTTAATGGCAATGTAGGGTTTACGTTTTTGCAAAATAACTTGCACAGAAAGATGGTGGGATACAGACTATTAAAATGGTGGTGTTGTCCACTCAACAGCTGTGGCACCTAACAGAAGGCAGGAGTTGAAGGCAATGTTTTGCCTTCACTTCGACAAGCCTTGGCTTCTTAGATGAACATTGCTATGATGATGGATTCCATACCATTCGTAGTTTCCACCAGAAACTTCGGTTGATGATGGCCAATCCTTCCTTGGATGTCTGAGCAATGTCTATCGAGAATAACCATATTACTAAATGGTGTTGGCTTTGTTAAATGCGGTTGTAATCTTATTGGTTTGCTGGGGACTTTGCATTGCAGACTGCTGAAAAGGAGGAGTTTGAACACCAACAGAAGGAGCTGGAGAAAATCTGCAACCCGATCATCACGAAGCTTTACCAGGGTGCGGGTGGAATGCCTGGGGGAATGCCCGGTGGCTTTCCTGGAGCTGGTGCTGCCCCGAGTGGTGGTGGCGGTTCTTCATCCGGCCCCACCATTGAGGAGGTGGATTAAATACGGCCAGTAAACCAGATGCAATCCTTAAGTTAACACCATGGCTAGACAAGCAAATCAAGCAGGACCTTGTACAATTGTTCTTCCCAATACCTTTTGTACTTTGCCATTGCCCACAATTTATCTTAAAATAATTGTCACGGTTTGACCCTGTTCATATTGTAATTGCAAGTTTACAGATTTAATGTACTGTGGGATCCTTGCATGTCCATCTGGTTTCCCAGTCGTTCTTCAGCAAGGTGTTCCAAGTCTGAAAGTTTTGGGAATTTGGCTCGAGTTTTAAACTTGATGTACAATTTTAGTTGTAACCAACAAAATTGTTAACGAATATTTGCAGTAACCATGGCCAATAAACTACTAGCATCTGGTGCTGTGAAGCGCTTATGAGGACCAGCACATGCATATGAGCACTGTTGTATGTGAACACTGTTTTGAATGTCTAGTCCTTAAATAAAGCAACCAACAATGTGTGGTTGTGGTGTCCTTTAATGTGGTGTTTTCTTTCTCATGTACTGTAATGCACTTTGAAATGACCAGTTCGGAGAACACTCGAATGGAAAAAAAAGCATTGTTTATAAACAATTCATTGAATAAAAGAAAGTTGGCACTGGACAAAACTACTTGTCTTACGGGTTTAAATACTGCACTTTTTTTGCGATCTGGTAGGGTGTGCTGTTTGATTCTCGCCAGTGGTTAATATGGAGTGCCTTGGTTAGCCAACCCAAAATGAGCATTGGCTTATGGTGGCTTTGTAAATAAAGACTACGTTTGAAGGCGTTTTAGTCGTTGAGCTTTAGATCTGGCGAGTGTAAAGGTATTTGAGGCCACGCTGTGAAGCCTGCATAAATTGGTACCCATCTTGCTCAACGCATCCCTTACACCGTTCATTTGTGTGTATTTGAAAAATACATCATTGGGACCTTTTCACGTGGTTTTAATTTGCCAAAACCTGATGTTTGCTATATGGTACCACTGCAGTTTCTTCCGATTAGCATGGTTGGCTACGTACGTTGCGAAAGAGTGCAACATGGATGTCCTCGACCTCGAGGGTCTTTTAAAATTTGGTTATGCCCCCTGTAAAACTAATTGTACGGTCTCCCCATGCACGGCAAACATGGCACAGATGCTTGATGTCCCCTTGGTGCAGATGGTTTTTCATTTATAAACAGCTTCCTATGTTTGAACTATGAAAACTGCTGCCATCTGGTAGTTTGAACCTTAAACATCAAAACGAGACTACCTATAACACTTCATTTTACCAGGTGAGGTCCACACATTGCTCTTCCAAGCGCGACCTGTCCAAAGAAGTGTTTGTAGTAGACGGCCAAGTGGTAATGTGAAGGGAAAGACCTGCAGAAAAATCCACGATGGCACGGGTAGAATACTAGAACTCCATACGGGATTGAACCCACAACCTGTTTGAGAGCTGGTTAACGTCTCCAATGCAGCGAATCCACTTTCTGAACTCCACTCGTCATTTTTCCTGTTCCCTCGGGAATAAGTACGGGTTTCTTGAAGCTGAACTTGTAGCCTTGTGATTTTTAATGAGGGATTAAGTGAACTGTCATATGCAGTAGATCATGTCGGTGGAAGTTAGATTTTTAAGGAAATTAATCTTGGGAATTGAACATTATCCTTGCAGAAGTCATGACCCTATACTAATCAGGAACTTTTACTCCCAAGTAATTAAGTTTTTATACTATTGGGTAAAGTCACGTAGGTGAAAATAAAATAAAAAATCACGACGTTTCGGCCACAACACAAGCGGCCTTCATCAGGTGAAGGGACGAGACTGGAGGACAGTGCTGGAGTGGGAGAAGCCACGCTTGGATCACGACCTTTAAGCTGTGTGAGAAGAAAAAGTGCCTTGACAAAGGAATTAGCATAGAATTTAGCATTGAAATAGCTGAGTGATTAGCTTTTAACTGGTTACAGAAATAGCTGTTAAAGTTGGAGCATATACATTCACCGAGGCACCTAGTACTCATCAAACAGGAGAATTTAGCTGGTTAACGTCTCCAATGCAGCGAATCCACTTTCTGAACTCCACTCGTCATTTTTCCTGTTCCCTCGGGAATAAGTACGGGTTTCTTGAAGCTGAACTTGTAGCCTTGTGATTTTTAATGAGGGATTAAGTGAACTGTCATATGCAGTAGATCATGTCGGTGGAAGTTAGATTTTTAAGGAAATTAATCTTGGGAATTGAACATTATCCTTGCAGAAGTCATGACCCTATACTAATCAGGAACTTTTACTCCCAAGTAATTAAGTTTTTATACTATTGGGTAAAGTCACGTAGGTGAAAATAAAATAAAAAATCACGACGTTTCGGTCACAACACAAGCGGCCTTCATCAGGTGAAGGGACGAGACTGGAGGACAGTGCTGGAGTGGGAGAAGCCACGCTTGGATCACGACCTTTAAGCTGTGTGAGAAGAAAAAGTGCCTTGACAAAGGAATTAGCATAGAATTTAGCATTGAAATAGCTGAGTGATTAGCTTTTAACTGGTTACAGAAATAGCTGTTAAAGTTGGAGCATATACATTCACCGAGGCACCTAGTACTCATCAAACAGGAGAATTTAGCAAAACACAACCACGCTCAGACAGCGGACCTTTAAACTGTGTGCGAACAAACAAGGTGTTCTGACAAAGAAATTAGCATTTGATTGGCAGATTTTAAGAAAGGTGGTGTACGTGCCGTTTGGCGCGGGGGGGGGGGTGGAGTTGACCTATTGATGGTGTGAAAAGGGAATTTATAAGAGCTGCGAAAGTTTGGGGTACCACTACTTGAAAAATATACTGTACCATTGAAATTAGTTTAATGTTTAGTTCGATTTAGAACATCTTTCCAATGGTTGCTTAATTTGAAACCATCCTCGGTTGAAATTGTGTCTGTGTTTGTAGATCTGAATTGCTTCATGAACACATCTCTGATAAAAGCCCGTGGATTTGCAAAGAACCTTGGTATCGGAGAAAATTATATCGTGATCCCCCACAGCGTTGTAACAGTGATCAGCCACAGCAGAAGAATTCGTTTTGCCGTGTTTCAAATCCTGATTCCCACCACCACCCAGCCCAAAATAATTATCTCATCAAAACTTTATACCATAGGGCTCATTGCATTTCGGACCAACACCACCTGACCAGTGAATTAAAACATGTACGCCTGGCCCTCAAAAGGAATGGTTACTCTGACCGCACCATCCGCCAAGCTGTCTCCCTCCATACAGAAACAACCACTTGATACTCTGGTCAAAACCATCACACTTCCATATATAGCAGGCATTACTAAAAAGATTTCCAAAATTCTAAACAAACACAAGATCCAGGTCCGGTTCAATACAGTACACAAAATTCGTGATCTTATCCCATCCGTGAAGGATGTCATTCCTGATTTACAGTACCCCGGGGTTTACAAATTGAGTTGTACCTGCGGTGATTGCTATATCGGTGAGACAAAGCGACATGTCTCTGACCGAATTCGTGAGCACAAATCAGATTTGAAACACGGCAAAACGAATTCTTCTGCCATGGCTGATCACTGTTACAACGCTGTGGGGGATCACGATATAATTTTCTCCGATACCAAGGTTCTTTGCAAACCCACAGGCTTTTATCAGAGATTTGTTAATGAAGCAATTCAGATCTACAAACAGACAATTTCAACCGGGAGGATGGTTTCAAATTAAGCAACCATTGGAAAGATGTTCTAAATCGAACTAAACATTAAAATAATTTCAATGGTACAGTATATTTTTCAAGTAGTGGTACCCCAAACTTTCGCAGCTCTTATAAATTCCCTTTTCACACCATCACTAGGTAAACTCCCCCTTCCCCCGCGCCAAATGGCACGCACACCACCTCTTTCCTAAAATCCGCCAATCAAATGCTAATTTTTATGCTAATTTCTTTGTCAGGACACCTTGTTTACTCGCACACAGTTTAAAGGTCCGCTGTCTGAGCGTGGTTGTGTTTCGCTAAATTCTCCTGTTTGATGAGTACTAGGTGCCACGGTGAATGTATATGCTCTGACTTTAACATAGCTATTTCTGTGACCAGTTACAAGCTAATCACTCAGCTATTTCAATGCTAAATTCTATGCTAATTCCTTTGTCAAGGGGTACCTCTGCGGATGTGTATACTTTAACTTAGCTATTTCAATGAGCCATTTCAATGCTAAATTCTATGCTAATTCCTTTGTCAAGGCGCTTCGTGTTTTTCTTCTCACACAGCTTAAAGGTCGTGATCTATACGTGGCTTCTCCCACTCCAGCGCTGTCCTCCAGACAGTCTCGTCCCTTCACCTGATGAAGGCCGCTTGTGTTGTGGCCGAAACGTCGTGATTTTTTGTTATTTTATTTTCACCTACGTGACTTTACCCAATCGAACCAAAGAGTATGGATCCTAGCAGTCACGAAAGCTTTAAATCTAGAAATGTTTAAGTTTTGTCACGGCATAATAATGTCTAAAAAAAGCGAAAATTGCGTTTACAAGATGGATTGCCATTTTGTTGTGACTAGTACTCCGACCCAATTTCTCAGATGGCAGCACGGTGTAGGTACTGTATGATATCTTTAAAATGCAAATAATTTGCCAATTCTGGAGTACATTGTAAGCACAATAACCCTGATACACCATTGGGAACATAAGCCTTGGAGGTATTGGCGTTCAACTAGTTCCCGACATGCTGCATGCACCCTGGATAGTGGGTGTTTCATCTGCCTGAAAATGAATTGCCGGAACTGGCGTTTAATGGCGAGGCGTGGTTGCGACAACGGCGTTGGCAATGGTAACCTTGTGAAAGAAACATTAACAAAAACGCTAACTTTATTTTATGGGGTAAGGCCCACTGAACTAATATAACAATTTTTCATAAGCTCCCGCCACAAATGACAGCTCAACGAAGTTTGCTTATGTGGCAATTTATGGCAGCCAAATAATTGAGACGCATGTTTATAGATGTTGGGGGGGGGGGGAACCGGAGGACCCGGAAAACAAATCAACGCGACCACGGGGACAGAGACACGCAGACTCCAAATATACAGCAGCAGGGGTCAGGGTCGGGATCGAACCCACGACCTCCTGTATACCAGCCGAGGTAGTTAACATCATTTCTTTAGAACTGCATTTTGTTTTAAGTTTGTTGTCGCGCACCTCTTGATTATCACGGTTGGCTACGTACGGTGCGAAAGAAGTTCAAATGCTCTTGCGAAATAGAGCAGTGCTTCTCAACCTCGTTTTTTTTTAATCCCACGGCACTTTTTCTGAGCGTTACTCTTATCTTGGCGGCACACCGAACAGCCATCGTGAGACCACGGTAGGGTGGGGGAGTCCGTCTCGCGGGTAGTCGGGGACCCATGGTGTGGGTGTCGTGGAGAGGTTGCGGGACTTGCCCGTTCGGTTCTTTCCGAATGCCTCATGCCGACGATTTCACGGCACAAGCTGGCTGGGACTTCGCGTCTCGGCAC